TGAAAAAATGCAATCGACAAGTAACAAAAAAGTGCAAAAATCTGGAAGTCAAGTAGGACTTGTGACCAGCATTGTCACATCCTATCATCAATGTAACAGAGCACTGATTTAATATAATATCCATTATTGAAAAATAAACATCCATGTTTGGGTTTGTTAATTTTTCACATACTTTGCTTTCTGCCCAGTACATCAATTGGCAAAGCTTACAGCTTGGATATAAGAAACCTCTCGAGATTTGATGAATGTAAATGCCTTCTCTGGTGCAGTATCCTCAGGTTTTGCTGTTAATATATTTTTGCATTCATCACAACCGAGTGATAGCAGTAGATGATAAACAATGTAACCTCTTAAATAATGTAGGATAAACTTAAATGTTTCTGGTGTACAATAATCATGATCTAATAATTCACTATCACTAGGATCTCCATAGTATAGGCTTGGATCACAAAGCAAATTTTCTAAATGTTCTTCCAATTGTTCTTGAACTTCTTTAAATGGTATTTTATGACTATGAAGAAGATTTTTTAAAGTAATAAGGATAGATCCAGGATCAGTTTGAACTGATGCTCGTTTGGGAAGACGAACCAAACTGTACACAGTCATCAGTCTGTACAGGTATAAGAACTGTACTGTTGTGGGATGAGAATTGCTTCCACTTCCTTGTCTTATCATTCCAAAGAAACGCTAATTGAAAAAAAAAAAAAAACATAAGTTAAGAGTTTAATACAAGATTATATAAACATTACACTTTATCAGTTTTATCTCTAACGGATCCTGATTAAAGTGAGCTGTCAGGATATAATATGAGTTTGGAAGCAATTGTTTGATGAGTGCTAAGATACTAGTCAGCGTCAAGCGTAAATTTTCTGCTGTCTGGTGGCTCAAAAATCCCTTTTGATCAGTGCTTCTAATCTGTGATCTGAATGCTTCCCATCTATTTAACCATTCTAGAGATTCTTCAATAACCTATTTTAAAAAAGTTGTTAATTAAAACAATTAAAATTTGGCATTAATACCTCTGATGTATTGATGCAGTGTAGAATGACAGGGTAAAGGCAAGTAATCATTATTTCTCAAAAATTCAAAGACAGATGGTGACCTAATTTTTAAAAGCAAACAGTCAAGTAACCAATTAATGTCATATCTCATACCCTTTTTGCTTTTTATATGGCATGCTTTCAGCATGTGCTCTATTACAAGTTTCTGTCTCGGTGGTAAGGAATGAAGTTTATCAGCCGACAAGGCGACAACTGTTTTATTTTAGTTCAGTAGTTTCTTGATGAAGCTTGAGATTTTCTGTTTGAAGAGTTTTCAGTTTCTTCCTATAGATCATATTTTGCTTTCTGCACCGATATAAATCCTCTTTGACTTTTAACAATTCAGACTGCAAAGCAGAGATTTTATTGACATATAACAGCTCAGGATGCTGTGTAGTTGCTGCTTCAGATGTGGAGGGTTCTTCTACTTCCTTTTCTACAGTTGTTACTTGGGAGTGTGTATCATGCAAATCTAATGATTGATAAAAAAAAA